AAGCAGGAGGGTTGCAATTTTGAGCATAGCGTGGACAACTTACCAACGTGGTGAGACAATGTCTCAACATTATAAAAAAAAAAGCCTGGGGATATAGCTCAGTGTGAAGGTCCTGGATTCAATTCCCAGTATCACCCTCCCCCTCAAGAAAGTGCATGCCTGGTCTACTTTATAACTTGTGGCCTTATTAGCCACAGAATTTCCAGTGTATTCAGGGATCATGACACAGAAAACATTAGCATCTATTGTTTAACTTCTTTAGTTTTGTTTTTTTTTTTAAATTATTTTTCTTTTTGGTACCAGGAATCAAACTCAGGACCTTGTGCTTGCCAGGCAGGCAATTATACCACGGAGCTATATCTCCAGCCCTATTGCCTAACTTCTTACATGCTTTAGTCATTTGTATTAACCCTTCTCACCCTGTAAGTACGGGAGTTTGTTCCCTCCTGGTGCAGTCACCAGCCAGAGATCCATACAAAAACCTACAAAAGACCTATACAAGAACTTACAAAACCACAAAAACTAGGATGTATGGAACTAGATAGAACAGAGAAGTATTTCTCAGGCCCTAAGAAACAAAAAGAAGGTCATCTCTTCACACACTAGGTATTAGATCTCAGTTCAGGTTCAAGGCAAAGTAAAAATTCAGTATTTATTCTCCAGAGCCACAAAGCATATTAATCTCAAACCAATAACCAATATTATGAAAAATGATAAAACAGAAGTTAGTAAGATATAGTAGTTAATAAAATGGGATTTTGGTTTTAGATGAACCTGGGTTTCAAATCCCAGCTCAGAAAATTACAAGCATCTCATTTTGATCAAGTTATTTAGTCAAAACCTAATAATAAGCCAGTTGTGGTGGTACATACCTGTAATCTCAGCATTGAGGGAGGAGGCAGGAAAATTGCAAGTCTGAGTCCAATTTGTACAGCTTAGTAAAACCTTACCTCAAAATAAAAACTAAAAAGGCCTAGGGATGTAGCTCAGTTGTAGCGCAACACTGGGTTCAATCTCTAGTACCAAAAGAAGAAAAAAGCATAATTATAATCCCTATTTTGGGGGTTTGCTACAAGGAATGAGTGAGATTATGTATATAAAACACTTAGAATGGCACTTGATACCTAGTAAACCTTTAATAAATGCTAGCACTCAATTAAATAAAACCATTTTCGCTAGAGTTAAGGACAAAGCTAGGTTGCTGCCATTGACAAGTGATTGATAGAGTTCTGAGTAAGCAGTATGATTCTTAGACCCTGGCAAGGACTTCTGACCTGAGACTCATACTTTAGTGGGTGTTTCCTATTCCAAATACTCAAAAACAAGCTTATTAAAGAAAGCATGGGCACTTCTGTCATTCAGGATGCAGCACTCATTGTTGGCACAAAACACTACCTTAAACTTCCATTCTCATGATTAACATAATTCAGATTTAAGAAGAGTATGTCTTATGTCTTTCTCTGTGTACTTCAAACAAAAGGCAAATGCAACCAACCGCCAGGAGGGTTTGTGAGTTATGCTGCTGCTGATGTCAGACACTGCTTGGGAGGGCAAGGAGAACATGAGAGGCAGAAGTGCCTAGTATGAAAAAAGACAAATTAGCTTACCAAATCCTTCCTCTCTCAACAGCAATAAATTCTTCCATAATAATGACTGTTTCCCAGTGGTAGCAAGCATTTTATTTAATTCTTTTTGTGGTAGAATTCATTGTTCCTTGATATGTGGTTTGGGGGGCTCCATTTGTACACTTGCCCCAAGCCAATCAAATGTTAAAAGCTGACTTACAGTAAGTGCAGAAAGATGCAAAGAAGAAATGAGGTTTGACTACTGGAAGGAAGGCAAAGGCATCACTATTTGTTTTTGATTTGATTGTCTACCCCAGGAACACCTAAGAAAATCAACTAAAACATGAATACATTTTAGGAGACAGTCCAGAAGAGTCCAGTAAAGTGGCTGAATAACAATCAATAGATTTCCTGCACGACAGAGCAACAACCTATTAGAAGATAAAAATGAGGGAAAATGTGCTTATGATGGCAAAAAAGGACAAAATCCCTAGGATAACTTTTCTAGAAATGCATGGGCTCAGTCAGGCATGGTGGTATATTGTAGCTACTTGGGAGGCTGAGACAGGAGGATCATTTGAGTCTAAGTGTTCAAGGCCAGCACAGACAAGATAGCTGAGGCTTCATACAAAGTAAACAAGGACTCAAAGGGATCTATCTATAGGTTATAGATCTACAGATTCAATGAAATCTTTATTTAAATTTATTTAAATTCCAAAATCATTCTTTACAGCAAAAGAAAAAAAATCCTAAAATTCATGTGGAACCACAAGAGGTCATAAATTGCAAAATAATCTTGCCAAAAAAGAACAAAGCTGGAGGTGTCATACTATCAGTTTCAAACTATGTCACAAAACTATAATAATCAAAACTGCATACTACTGGCATATAATCTGACACATCAATAAATACAATAGGATAGAGAGTCCAAAAATAAACCTATACATCTACAGTCAATTGAAATTTTTTCTTTTGGTACTAAGGATTGAATCTAAGGCCTTCACACTGAGCTACAGTGTGAAACCCTTTTATACTTTTTATTTTGAGGCAGGGTCTCACTAGGTCATTAAATTGCCCAGGTTGGGCTCATCTTTGCAATTCTCCTGCCTCAGGCTATCAGACTGCTGAGATTATACACATGAATACAGTCAATTGATTTTTTCAGTCAATTGATTTTTGACAAAGGTGCCAAGAACATACAATGAGGAAAGGGCAATAAGTGGTGCTGTAAAAATTCAATATTCATATACAGAATAATGAAAATGGACCTTTTCTTTGCTTCCTATATAAGAATTATCTCAAAATGGAATAAAGTCCTGAAAATATAAAAGTACTTGAAAAAAATAAAAGGGTAAATCTCTATGCTATATCATTGGCCTTGGCAGAGATTTCCTGGATATGACTCTAAAAGCATAGGTAATAAAAGTAAATATAGACAAATGAGATTGAATCAAACTAAAAGTTTCTGCACAGTAAAGAAATGGCAAAGTGGGAATCCATATATTGGGAGAAAACATTTGCGAATCATAACTGTAACTATTAAATAACAAATCTTACTCTCCTACCTGATAATAAATCATCATTTGAGATACTACGGAGGATACATCAAAGTGATTCCTATCTCTAAAATGCTTGTAATCAAATGGATTTGTAGAGTGGATAAGGAAGGTAGAAGCATGAAGAGGCTACATTCACTGAAGTATTGTTATGTTTTAGAAGGCAATGAGGTCACCAAGGCAGGTCCCAACTAATCCTATGCTAGGCGATTTGCATGTATGAAATTTGTTTTCTTTTTAAATATATTTTATTAGTGTCTATTTTTAATAAAATATTGAATTTCAAGGTGTATTTTCATACACGCCTGTAACATATTTTGATCATATTTATTCTCCATATGTGTGTGTGTGTGTGTGTGTGTGGTGCTGAGGATCAAACCCAGGGTTTTAAACATGCCTGGAATTCTTTTTTTTTTTTTTTCTGAAACAGGATCTCACAGTGCAGGCTGGCCTTGGACTCCCTTATGTAATCCAGGCTGCTCTTGCATTCACAGCAATCCTCCTGCCTCAGCCTCCTGAGTGCTAGGATTATAGGTACGTGCCTCCATGCCTAGCATGCCTAGAATTCTTACAATGAAACTTTGGGAGATGAGTTTCTGCCTACATTTTATAAAATGGAAATAGAGACTCAGATAAATTAGTGACTTATCCAGATTTTCACAATGCCAGATCTAGAATTCAAACTCTGAATCTTCTGGTCCAAGAATACTATGTGTGTGCACTAAGCAATATCAGGTAAATAAGTGTCATATTAATGGTACAAAATATTATAGGAGAGGCACAGAGCAATAACTAAGAGCATGGGCTCTAGAACTGACTGTGGAAGGGGAGGGAGGAAAAGGGAAGGAGAAATAAATAGAATTAAGATGTGTTATGTACATGTACCAACTCCCTATGATGAATATAATCATTTTGTACTGCAAACATGTACTACTACTAATAATAATAATTTAAAATTGACTGTCTGTGTTTAAATTCTGGTTCTCCACTCTTAAACCAGTTACTTACCTTCCCTAGGCCTCAATATTACCATCTATAAAATGGGAAGTCATACCTAGCTTAAGGTGTTGCTGTAAAGATTAAATGAATTAATGCAAGTAAAGCACAGTGTCTTACATCTACTGAAGAGTCAATGAATACTGTGTTTTGTCATAGAAAATAGGAAGAAAAATTCCTATCTGGCTGGGAATGGATTAGCAGACTACATGAAGGAGGTGACACTGGGGAAAAGGTTGAATGCTAATGAAGAGTAGTAATGGGAAGTAGTGATGAATAAAGTTAGGAGTGGTAGTAAAGCTCAGGTAACATGGAGCCATGAGTAAGTAGATGAGGGACAGCATGTAACAATGGTAGCTATCAAAAGATAAATCTCCAAAGAGAGACAGGTCAAAACACGGAGAGTTTGGAATGCCATATTAAAAACTCTTCAGTTAAGCACATAGCAATGAAGACCAAAGCTTTTGAGAAAGAGGAAAATAAAGCCTTCTTCAGCTGCAGTCAAGCCTGACAATGGCAATTTTATCCTCAACTGTTGCCAAATTCATACATCAATGGACTTTGAAGTCTAATATTTTGAGGAAACAAAAAGAAAGGGAGAGGTGGACAAAAGGGAGTGAATGCTAAAAGAGGCTAGGTGACTCGACAAAGTGAAATGTGTGCCCGGTGGGAAGTCTTTGAAAGCACATCTTAATTGCTCACTCTAGGGTACTCAGTGCCTGACCTCCAGGCATACACTATCTTCTCTCCATTTAACTTGAAGTTCCCACCTCAGTTTCAGGTTTCATCTAACTTCTGGACGGTCCTTTTGGTCTGCGAAGTGCAAGCGTAGGGCATTAGGACCCAGCGAGCGTTGTAGTGAGAGAGGTCGAATCTCGATCTCTCAATTTTTCTCTAGAGCTCCCCACTCTCCCTTTGTCATTCGAGCTGCCTGCTGCCTCTGCGACGTCGCTCTAGCTCTCCCTGTGCTAACTGCCCGCGCAGAAAGCAGAAGGATTAGTTGGGACCTGCCTTGGTGACCTCATGGCATCCCCCAGAACCGTAACTATCGTGGCCCTCTCAGTGGCCCTCGGACTCTTCTTTGTTTTCATGGGGACTATCAAGTTGACCCCCAGACTCAGCAAGGATGCCTACAGTGAGATGGTAAGTGAAGCAAAAGGGTGATGAGGCGCGCACCCCTACGGGGATTGCAAGTACCTCTCCCCTTCTTTCACCATCTCTGGTCCCATCCCCTTAACCTCCACCCCCACCCCAGGTCCTCCCTTGGCCCCAACAAGTTTGCACCTCGGAAGGAACAGCCTGACAAGAGTGATTGCATTTGCGGGCTGTGCCGGGAACAACTGTTTTGGAGCCCCTGAATACCAATTGGGGGAGGGGCTGCCCAGCGAGGACCGCCAACCACAAGTAAACCTGAATGCTGAGATCTGCGCAGCACCTGCAGCAGGAGCCCTTCCCTCTTTCCAGCACACACCCAAAGTCCAGACCACCAGTCTGCAAAGTCTGACCCTTTCCTTTAGAGTTAAGAGTTTGGCAAACTAGAGAGTTTATTTATTTTAGGGAGGAACAAAGGGGAAAGAAGGCAAGAGCTGAGAAGAATGGGCTAGTAAAAGGAGCAATTTGTAAGGGCTGGCTAGATATTCATCCCAAGCATAGAGTTCATAGTATTCCTCTAACCGCCTGGGTATATAACTGGATCCTTGAGACAAAGCAGTCTTAGCTCAAATAAAGGTCACTGAGCTCTTGCTTCTGCCCCTTCTCTCAAGAGAGAGCTGGATGCTTTGTTTCATGTGTAGGCAAATCTGCAAAATCCGAAAACTCTGCCTTTTCTTTACTGCAAAACAGTCCCTAATCCCCACTGTGCCTCCTGTGGATGCCCAGGGCCAGGCCCTCTGCAGGGTTTCCCCTCTGCAGAGTTGGAATCACCCGAAGGTGACTGGACAAAACATCTCTGCAACCTGGGGGCTGGGCTGTTGGGTGTGATGAGGACTTGCTCTTATTGTGGGGTACTAGGCAATGGCCAGGGATGTTTCCAGCACTTTCGGTCTCGCGCCTCTCCCCTGCCACTTTGCTCCTTCATTTCCACGCTGCAGCTGAAGGGAACCTGCCCAAAGCCTTTTCCAGACTTCAGTAGTGGGAGGGAGCACAATACTGGGCTCTCAAGGTCAAGAAGGAAATGAGCTTTAGGAAGGAGCACAAGGGAAAGAAAAAAGAGCAAGGAGTCCCTGTTAGGGCTGAGGCAGGGAAAAATAGCTTAGCATGTTAGAGGAATTAATTCCTCTCCCAGAGCTTACTGCAGAGCTTACCAGTGCCCCTCACCAGGAGCTGCAGATGGATGGAGACTGGCAAATGGGAGATGCCCCAAAAATGTTAGCAGGCAGCCCTGGCTTCTGTCTCAGTATTTGAGTTTGAACTCTCCGTTTCTTCCTTACCACAGGAGCATCCTGGCATGGGGGAGGGTAGCTGAGACTCAAGGCTTAGGAAGAGCCCCAGTGGCAAATCCTAATATGCTTCTCCTCCCCTCTGCTCCTCCTGGAATGTTTGGCCAGATGGAATTGAAATCAGGTCAAAATAAGTATCCTCAGCATCCTGCATAGGTGGGGGGTTGAGGTAGAGGGTGTGAGGTAGCAGAAGCTACCAAAGGGATTGAAGAAACTAGGGCAGAAGGACAGAGTGGAGGGGAAATGCCAGTATACTTTTGTCTTGGTTGTAGTGTAGTGTTAGATTATAAATAAATGAATATGCTCGTGCTTTACTTTTCATATATAAATATATACTTATATTTGCATATACTATAAATGTTTCTAAGCTTTCCTTTTCATTAGGGACACAGTACCTTCATACTCACTGCCCTCTAGACCTTGCTCTGCTGCCTTAGAGGTCCTCCTAAGAGGTCCCCTAAAACAGTATTTGGTTGTGCAGGCAATCCAACTAAGATGGAGTCACAGGAAAGCTTCCTACCAGGTTGGCAGGAGCTCACGAAGAGGACCAGCCACAAATGGATTTACAGTAGGTTTCCTCCTAGGGAGTCGAGCTGTTTATCGTTTCCTAACACAAAGAAGAAATAAACATGAAGATTTCATATTCATTTAAACATATTTAAATAGTTATAATCTACTATAGCAGTATAGACCTATTGTGTGCTGCGTGTGTGTGTGTCTGTGTGTGTGTACTTGTCTGTACACATAGATTTGATGCTTCGGTGCTTGGACATCTGGAGGGCATCTAGAAAGACTATATCTAACTGCAAGGTAGGAGGTACAGTGGTATTAAGCTTCAGGAGGATTTTCAAACTTCACTTTTCCAGGGTCCCTCCTGCACTGAGCATCACCCAGTGCATAGTGCCTAGACTTGGCCCAACTTTCTTCTTTAGCCCATAGGAAAGTAGAGAGTTCGCTTCTAGTACAAAGAAGGTGCTATGTATAATCACAGAATGGATGGATAAATGAATGTCATTGTAGCATTGCCTTGGCTAGTCACCCTCAGATTTTTCTGGTTTGTATTTGATTATACAGTTCAGAAGCCATTTGTTGCTTCTTGGAAGGACCAACGGTCCCTCAGAACCCCAAGCCTAGATCAGGTGGGATGATTGCCTGGGATTTCTATTTTCCATTTAGGAGTGAGTCCTCTGCATTGACAGTCATGTATTGACTGCAGCTGCATTTCTCAGAAGATCTCAGTATTGATGCTATTATCATTTTTAAAAGATTATTTGTTCTTTAAAATATTTCTGTGAGGAAGATTCATTTTATTAGTTATTCTTATATTAATAACAGGTACACTGAAGCCCAACAAGTTTAATGACTCATCCAAGGTCATAGACGAACTATTGGAGCAGAGATTAGAGACCAAGTCCATGACTCAATACTCCCAGTGGTGGGCTCATTAATGGCTAAAACTCTCGGATTTTCTGGATGCCAGAACCTACAACTGATCCTTAAAAATATCTTGCACATTTTCACCTCTTTTTTTTTCTGTATCAGCTCAACTCTCTAATATATATTGTGGGGGTTTGTTTTACTTCAGAACCATTTTTGTGTGTAGGAGGGGCATGGTACTGGGGAATGGACCCAGGCCTTTCTCTGAGTTACATCCCCACATTTTTATTACTTTTTATTTTTGAGAAGGTGTCTCACTCAGTGGCTAAGTTCCCCAGGCTGGGTTCAAAGATGCAATCATCCTGCCTAGTTCTCCCAGAGTGCTGTAATTACAGGCGTGTGCCACCAGTCCTGGCTTCAGAGCCAGTTTTTTTAAAATTAGGTTTCTGTTTTTGCCTTTCTGCTACTTTTCCCTTGTTGTAAAACCGTTAATGTTATGCTTAGGTGTTACCTCCCTCCCATGGAGAATCACTGTTAAAAACCAACCAGACAAGTAACTATGAACTTTGTCCCCGGCTCTATTGGAGAAGCCAGGAAAGGTTGCTGGGAAGACTGTAGGCTTTGGATTCATACAGACTTGAGTTTGAGTCCTGACACTCTTAGTGTCTCAGTTCCCTTATTCATAAAATAGGGATAATGATACCTACATGAGACAGTTGTAAATATTACCTGAGACTGCATAAGAAAGTATCTGGTGCAGTGTTTGCTATGGTAGGGATTGAAGAAGTGCTCTGGGTGAGGTGATGATGATAATCGATCTGATTTTATGCAGTGGATTTCTAACTAATTTGAGTGATCCGATTAAGAGATTGAAATCAAACATTTAAAAGAACAAGATGTTATTTTCATATGCATTGGCGAACAGGCACAGAGACCAATCAACTAATATTGAAAAGTCAACTTGCATGTACGACTGGTAGATGCATTTCTGAATAAGCCATTTGGCATGTGCGGTCTTATACCTCCTTCAGAATAAGCTATTTATTATTATTATTATTATTATTATTATATTTCTCGAGTCAGGGTCATGCTATATAGTTCAGGCTGGCCCTGAACTCCAAACATAGCCCAGGCTGGCCTCAAATTTGTGGTAATCCTCCTGCTTCAGCCTCCCAAGTGCTAGAATTATAGTCATGCACCATTGTGCCCAACCAAGAAAAAGCAAATATTATAGAATATTCTAAATTCCACATGAGTCCAAAATGATCCCCCACTCCTCTAACTAAATGCCTTTATTAATTCACTTGAATTGAGAGTCAGTACTTCACAGGTGCTGCTAAGTACTTTTGTGCTCAGTGACTGGGAACATGTGAATGGTTAACTGGCATTAAATTTGATGTTCCGCTTTCTATAGTAGTGATTCTGTTCTGTAAGCACAGGGGACTACACATGGAATGATTACAAAACACGAAAATTCTGTCACAAAGAAGCCAAGGAGTTTTTACACTGAGGTTAATGAGTAAGTCATTATTTTTTTTTTGCATCCTTTCATAGTAAAAGTTTGTTGATTTGACTGATTTAGTTATCAGTAAAGTCCTATTTATGTAATCCTGGAGAAATACTCCCAACAGATTTGAGCAGTATATTCAGTTTTCACAGGCAATCTTTTAAGCTTCCAATCACTGGCATAAATTGCTTGTCAACTAGCCTGATGCTCAGCCTGCTCTCTGAGGTGGTACAGTACATTTATTCCCTTAGAGAGGAAACTGAGACTCTGAGATGTGAAGTGACTTTGCTTAGTTGATGCAGTCAGCCATTGCAAGCTCCACTGTACCTCAGAGTTTATGTCAGGGAACTTGTGGACTCTCGGTATGGCCAACAGCTGAGTTTGTGTCAGAGTGACCTTTGACTAAGAGTAGAAAGCACTCTTCCGCCCTAATATGCAATATGGAAAGGATCCCCTTAGTAGAACCAGGCTTGCCAGCTTCTGCTGTAGGTAGGCACTAAAGAAGAATATAAAGTAGAATTGGTTAATGCACATTTATCATTTATATGGACAATTGACAATTAAATATATAATAGGATTTTATTGCAATTCGACAGTGATCTATGATTCAGAGATAACTTTATTTTTCCAATAGAGATTCAGGAAAATAATGCATGAGTCAGTAAATTTACGCTGATGTAGGCTTTATGGTTTAAGTAGCAACCTGGCTGAGAATTTTAGTCCAAAAATATTTTTGTTATTACCATATTCTGTTTTCATATAGTTTTTTCCCTGTAAATATTGTTGAAGTATAACATATATGCTGAAACATGCATGTTCATAATTGTACAAGAAATTTCTAGAATACTCCCATGTAACCAGATATCCATAACAAGAAACAACACATGAATAGTACCCGAGAACACTGGCTCAGAGCTCCTTCTAATTACCATCCTCCCAAGGCTAATAAATATCCTCATTTCTACCAACACAAGTTAATTTTACCTATTTTTGAACTTTAAGCATATTTCACAATATACTAACTCAATTACTTTTTCTTTCACCTAAGTGGCGTAGGTGAATTAAAGTAGATAATATCACTTATGTTCTGTTCCCATTTTGTCTTCTTACCTGGTTTAGATTGGTTAAGAATTGTGATCAAAAGTAAATATTATTTGAAAGGTTTGAACTAAGTTTAATATCATTAATGTGAGATCATGGCCCCTGGAGTGTTGTGAAGAAGAAACAACAAAAATCTGTTTTAAAAATATGACTAAGGAAGTTCTCCATCTGCTTTTGACTCATGGCTAAATCATATGTTTTATATCACAAGAATGGACCTGCTTGATTCATCACCATTATCATTAAAATAATTACTGTGGCTTGCAAACATATGGATTTCAATTGTGTGTTTCATTATTGACAAATTGTGTGTGTATGTGTGTGTCTGTCCCTTGGTTGATGCTAAGGTTACAGGTTCTTTGACTAATCTCCAAAATGCCCATTTAATTCATAAAAATGGAGACTCGGGTAATAAAATACTAATTTTCTCAAAGCAGTGTAGAGGAAAAACTAAATTGGAATTGAGCTCATTAATATTGCGGGATGATTCCTTTTGATAGAAAGGATTTGAAATATTTGACTAAGCCCTTCAATTTCCTACTTCTTTCCGTTTAAGGAAATTATGGTTTCGGGATCTGCAACATTTCAAAGGGAAGGAAACGGACCCAACAAGCACTTTGTAAGAGCTTTGTGAGAAAATAAATTGGTCAACCTTTTCATTCTTACTACCAATGCAATTTAAGTGTTTAGAGACCCAGTTACTACACACTCAAGGCATGTGACCCTTTTATTGTTATAATTGAGGTGAAGAAATGGCTTATTCACATGCAATTTCCTCTTGAAAAAAAGAGGAAAGAAAGAGACAACAGTTGCAAAAAAATATCCAGACCTACAGTTGAACAGGTTACCTAAAAATCAAAAAGGGAATATAGAGTTAAACCACACTAAGATAAAAAGGATCACAGAAGTCATGAAAAACTTGATTTAAAAACCTGGAATTCAGCCCCAGATTACAGATTCCACTACAGTGTACAGAGTTTAGAAGAATGGAATCTTAAATGATGAGTGGTTAGCCCTAGCAAAAAAAAAAAAAAAAAGGAAAGAAAAGAAAAGGAGTTTCTAGAAGCCACTCAGCTAGCATCTGGAAGTCTTGGCTGCAAACTGACTGTAAAAACTCATCTTGCCTCCTGTGTTCATCACTCAGAAACTTATACTTAGGATTTAGGAATTGCCCCTTAAGAAACTTTGTCTTGCTTATTAGAAATGGTCCTTACTTAAAAGAGTCATGGTGTCAGATGTGGTGGCCTATGCCTGTAATCCTAGCACTTGAGAGGCCGAGGCAGAAGGATTGCTGTGAGTTTGAGGCCAGCCTTGCCTACATAGTGAGACAGTGTCTCAAAAAAACAAAAACAAAAAAAGAGTTAAGGAAGCCTCTGGGGTCTAGACGTCTTTCCCTACTGTACCCCTGCTACTATGGCCGGAGTACAGAGGAGGAGGGTGGTATGTATCTACATTAATAGTGAGAGAAAAATGGCGGGCCTCTTGCCACCACCTTTTACTTTGCACCTCCATTTGGCTCTGCTGCCCTTGTGTCAGTCTTGGTTCAGCCTATGATTTACGAACAACTAACATTTGGTATTTTATATTCAGCAACAGGGTAGGGAGCAGGGTGAGGTGAAATTTTAAATAGTCTCTAAAAGAGCAGGGGTTAGGGAGAGTTAAGTGAGGCAAGGCCATGCAAGAGTACTTGCCTTTATTTAAAATCTTGTTATAAAAAAAAAAAAGAAAATCTTGTTATTTTGCTTATCAAGGATACTATTTGCCCTGATTAATGAGTGTTTTTGCTGCCTTCTTAAATTTCGCACCCAAGGCAAGTAGCCTCACGTACTTCACATAGTCTTCACCCTACTTAGGAAAATGAGACTCCGAGAGGTCAAGCAATTTACTCATGGGCATCAATGAGAAAGTGGCAGGGCTGGGATTTGAAGGTAAACTGATGTGGATTTAAACCCATGGTTTTTTTCACTAAATCACCAGTCTTTTAACAGTCTTCATAAAAGCATTATTTTGTGCCACTCACAATCAATCCATGAAATAATGGTGCATTCACTTGTACAAAAGTGAGAGAAAGGTCTTTTTCTGAACCTACAGGGTGTGGACTATTCTAACTGCCAAATGCTTCTGAGAGGTCAAGTTGGCTTTCTGCCTGATTCTTATCATATAATCTGCCCCTTTTTATCTGTGAGGGATTAGGTTTTAGGCTTATCTGTGCACATTCTCACATAGTTTAAATTATCTCTAGATTACTTATAATTCCTAATACAATGTAACTTATAATTACTCATAATTCCTAATACAATGTAAATGCCACATATATATATCAACTATTTACATAGCTTTTACACTGTATTAGGGATTATAAGATATATATATACACCTTAGGGAATAACAAAAGTCTGTACATGTTCATTACAGATGTAATTTTTCCCAAATATTTTCAATCTACAATTGGTTGAGTCCATGTATGCAGGAACTATAGATAGAAAAGTGCCAGAAAATTTGGTGTCTGCTAAAGGCCCTGTTTCTGACTCATAAATAGTACTTCCTGGTTATGTCCTTATGTGGTGGAAGTGGCAAGGCAGATCTCTGGAACCTTTTTAAATAAAAGCACTAGTCCCATTCATGGATTCCATCCAATGGATTAATCAGTTCTCAGAGTCCCATTTACTAGTACCATTGTCTTGAGGGTTAGGATTTCAACATGAATTTTGGGGGACACAGACATTCAAAACATAGCAATGCTGCTACAAAGTTTTACATCACAGGGCTCCTAGCACATTGCTTGCTCTTTTATCTTAAATACAAGGCTATTATTTAGAGAACAAAGTGAAAAACAGGGTACCCTTGGCTGACATGGAAGGGTAATGGTAGGGAAGGAGGCTTCTGTTTATGTTTTCTTCATTCTGATATTAAAGTTGTGGTTAACACAGTAATTCCCTTATGGTGTCCCCACTCTAGAAACGTGCTTACAAGAGCTATGTCAGAGCCCTCCCTCTGCTGAAGAAAATGGGCATTAATTCCATTCTCCTCCGAAAAAGCATTGGTGCCCTTGAAGTAGCCTGCGGCATCGTTATGACCCTTGTTCCTGGACGTCCCAAAGATGTGGCCAACTTCTTCCTGCTTTTGCTGGTGTTGGCTGTGCTCTTCTTCCACCAGCTGGTCGGTGATCCTCTCAAGCGCTATGCCCATGCTCTGGTGTTTGGAATTCTACTCACCTGCCGCTTGCTGATTGCCCGAAAGCCTGAAGATCGGTCTTCTGAGAAGAAGCCCTTGCCCAGAAATCCTGGAGAACAACCCTCCTTGTATGAGAAGGCCCCTCAGGGCAAAGTGAAGGTGTCCTAGGAAAGTGGAAGTGCAAAATGTGGACCTTCCAGGCAGTTTCCTCTATGACACCTGGGAAGATGTCAGTTTGTGGTTTTAATTTGATTTACTTCTCTTGGGGGGAAAGGGAAAATATAATCTGCAATTTAATTGGCTTGTGTACTCTATACTCCCAAATAACCCCCGCATATTGACCTTTGTGAACCATCTTTAATCACTGTGGGCAACAATCAAATCTTGCTGCATGTAGGCGTATATGGCTACTATTGAAGTGTATTTATGAGATGGACTCCAGCAAGCATGTGACTGTGAAATTATGTGTGGGAAAAATGAATTTACTTACTGTGTGTGTGTATGCACACATATGTGTAGAAGGCTCTCATCTTGAACTAATCCTGCACAGGTATCCTTCCCTTTATAAATCAATTCCAGGCTGGGCGTGGTGGCACATGCCTGTAATCCCAGCACTCGGGAGGCTGAGGCAGGAGGATTGTTTGGAGTTTGAGACCAACTTGGGCTACAAAGTGAGCTCAAGGCCAGCCTGAACTGCACAGGGAGACCCTGTCTCAAAAAGACCACAAAAAATAAATAAATAAAAATATCACTAAATCGATTCCAACAAAAGGTAGAATGAAATAAACCTCCTGTAAAGAGAATCCTACTTCTGTATAAAACAAATTACCTATTCACATGTGGGAAGGGGATTCCTTTCTAGATGAAGCTGAAAACTTAAATTCACCACTGCAGGAAAGAACTCGACTTGAAACCTCTGAGTTATATTTAAAATTAACCTCTACTTTAACAGTTAAGTTTTTAATACTTGATGTAGAGTTTAATTAAAACAAGGAATTCACCAGGCATGGTGGCACAAACCTTTAATCCCAGAACTCTGGGAGACTGAGGCAGGAGGATTGAAAGTTTGAGCCCAACCTGGACAACCTGGTGACTTAGTGAGACCAGCTCACAATAAAAACATGAAAAAGGGCTGATAATGAAACCCAGTGTGAAGGCCCTGGGTTCATTTCCCAGTACTAAAGTAAAATAAAATAAAATAAAGCAAGAGATCCATGAAGCCAGATAGTCTAATTCTTCAAGTGATAAAATAGGAAGTTTCACCTCGATTGTATCTGAGCCTAACTTACTCAGCTCTTACTAATACTAGTTTGAAACTGAAGCAGTAGATTAGTTTCCAAACATCTTCAGATTTTCTTAAGGCTAAGACTGTCTGACTTGCGCTATTCTCAGCAGCTCACCAGGATTTGGCAACTGACCCACTGTTGAGGGTACAGGGGTTAGTTCTGTTAAAAATCTGAACCTCAAACACTAGCTGTTCTAAGAAACCATCCATAACTTGACAGATGAGCTATATCCAGTGTTTCCCTGACAAACAGATTCACCACTCCTACTGATTATTCATTGAACTTTGCTAGTGCAAGCAGAGTTCAAATCACTCCTGTTGTTGTCTCTGCTCCACCTTTTTATGATTCCTGTGCGTGGAGTTTAGCTGGGGGAAGGACATTTGACATGGGTTAGTCGGACTGAGCAGTATGGAAATTTGTTTCTTCATTACATACTGTTGTTTCACCTTGTTAAATATGCTTCAGTGGTTTTAAAATTATTGTGTCAGGGATGGGGAAGGGACAGGGGGCTATGTGTGGGGAGAGTACTTATAATTGTATTTTCTTCGCTGTAATTGTACTTGGTAATTGATATTTCTCTCATTGTTTCAAAATAAAAGTTTTTGAAATTTGGAGATGATTGTCTGGATATACACTAAAAATATGGAAAGAATAGGTCAAATCAAAATATTCAGGCTCCTTTTCCTTAAGTGTTGATGAAGGAGAAGAGAAGGGAGAATATAATGTAATATGTTAATATAGTAATGAAGTTATCAATTTGCTAATCCCATTTCAATTCCCTCACACCTTTTTGTTGTTAGAGTATAAAACAGAAATCCATAGAGTTAGAATCTCAATACAACTGCTAGGTTTGGGGAGTTGCTAGGTGATGCCAAGGGACAAGAGAAACACTACTTCAGAGAAAACTAAATGTATGTTAAATGATGGTGAACCACCACCTCTTATTATGTATGTAGCCACAAAGTGCCACAAATCAGACAACAGGCCAGTTCTCATCATCTACAAAAAGGTGGGTGTTGAAACCTTAAAATCCCTTCCAGTTTCTGTTTCTGAATCTATAAAACAATTAAAAGCATGAAAATGACTCGACAAATTTTCAATTTTACTGAAGAGCATCTTAGAAAAAGTTGTCATTAAAATTTTTCCATGCATGTTAACTAAGAGTTCGAGTAACTACCCTGAAAACAGCATAAGTACAAGATATAGTAAATACTTCTGCTGAGGCCTTTCCCTAATACTGCACATCAATTTAATCTTTTTTTATTTTTATTTTTATTTTTTATTTTGTCTTTTTGAGACAGGGTCTAACTATGCAGTTAGGGCTGACCTTGAGCTCACTTTGCAGCCCAGGCTGGTCTGGAAGTGGCAATGATCCTCCTGCCTCAGCCTCCCAAGTGCTAGGATTAAAGGCGTGCGCCACCACACCCGGCTAATTTAATCTATTCATCTTTCTCTAAAATTGAAGTTTCCCACTAGTTTTGCCTAGTTTATAGGTATGTTTTGGCCTCATCAGCGAGAGTCACTACATTTGTATGTCTCCTTTCTTATTTCTATTAGTAAATATAAACTAGGGATAAGCTCAGATCTAAGACTAAGTCCTTGTTACTATTTTAGCCAGTTTCTTTAAAGGCAATTAATTCTTCAAGTTTAGGAATATTTACATGTTGACAGCCAGCTAACTTCGAGGTAACTCAACATTCGGCTCAGGACACAGTTTCCTTGAGAACCTTGGAGATACTGTATCTACCCTCCGTAAACGGAGGGCAGCTCTGTTCTTTCCTCCTGCCTTCACAGGAAGACAGACCCTTTAAGTCTCTGTAAGGGAGAAGCCGCCGTTATTGTGAGGTTTGTGGTTTCACTCTTTCCATAAAGTCCAAAATTTGGAGTCAACCTGAGCAAAATGAACGCTCCAAATGATCGAGTTAAATTCAAGAATCAGGACATGAATTGTTTTGTGTTACGCAAAATGACGAATAACAATCATTACTAGAGCACAGAAAACGCCATCCAGTCAGCTGCCTGCATCAGCAACGACGGACTCGAGGCCCGACCCCCTCTCCCGCCTAGGTGGGTGGAGCAAGCACCTTAGGTGGTTTGCGTCATTGCCTGTGCGCGCGACACATCCCGCCTTCGAACTCTATTCCAACCAATCGAGCTTCAGCAGAGCGCGCCACTCCACGGAGCCGCCACCTAGGCCTCCTCCGAAGCGCATGCGCGGGGCGGGGCCCGCGCCTTTGAATCTTGGAGGCGGCTTTTGGACGCTGGAGGCTTCGGGGCCGAAGAGGGTGTCAGGTATGGTGCCGCCCTTAATGGGAATCCCTGAGAGCAAATATCCTGACCTCTGAGTGCGGGTCTGTTCTGTAAAGCATAGTTGAGGGTCATATTTTCCCCTAGCCTAGGAATCTGCCTAGTGTGTGAGTGGGTCTTTGCCGCTTTCACTCTTGGCTGAGGTGAGCTGTGGAAACGATCCTTAGGAAGCGCTGGAATGGTTCTCCCGCCCTTGTTTCCTAGGAGTCTAGGAAACATTCCAGAACTAGAACGTCCAGCTCTGGCCCCATTTGTTTCTGGGGAGGTGGGTTTGAGTATCATTTGAAGTTTATCCCATTGGAAGCCAAAACTTAGAAATCTTGGTTCTCCTTTTCTTTTTCCTACATCTAATTCTTTTATCACAGCCTGCCCAGTCTACCTCCAGAACATATGAATCCTGTCATGTTCCACCTCCACCCTGCTACACCTTGGGCCTAATGTAGACTGGTTATTTGTTTCCTAGACTTCTGCAAGAGACTTTAGTTGATCTCTTGCCACTCTGGGCTTTTTTTTCTTTCTTTCTTTCTTTTTTTTTTTTTTTTTGAGACAAGGTCCCACTGTGCAGTTCAGACTGGCTTTGAATTTGCTCTGTAGCCCAAGCTGGCCTCAAACTCACAGTGATCCTCTTGACTCAGCTTCCCAAGTGCTGAGACTACAGGCATGTGCCGCGACTCCAGGCTATACTCTTGTGGTTTTTTTGAGACAGGGTCTTGCTGTGTCATTCAGCCTAGGTTGGCCTCAAATTCGCAGCAATCCTCCTGCCTCAGCTTCCCAAATGTTGGGATTACAGGCTGCGCATCATGCCTGGCTTCTTGCCACTCCTTAACCCCCAGCATTCTAATTTCCACACTGTAGATATAATATTGTGTTTATATATAT